ATTGACGCCAGGATGATGATACCATGAGCGGCGACAGTCTCCTTTATTCCTTCCAGCGGTGATGCATGGCGATGGTGGAGTTCGACGCGTCCTGTTATCATCTCCGCCGATCTCAATGGACTCCATTGGCAGCTATGTGACGGGTGTTTGGGCAGAGTCTATTCTGTGCGGGTAGGTGGGTGGGGTTGAGGACGCCGCCAGGCAGCAAGGTCTTTTCGTTGGTTTGAAACACGGCCCCGACAGGTCTATTCCTTTTCTTGAAAGCATGACAGCAGGCCGACATGTCAATCCTGATGTAGGCTGGCCAGTAACAGGAATAGTAGGAGTCTAGGCCCAGATTCCATTCAAATATTTTCAGGCACCGCGCTCAGCGAACTCCAGGCCTGCTAATCAAACTGGTGGTACAGAACGTTGAGCAGATCTCCACATGCTAGATTCTGCATGGACGGTAGTGATAGCCGGGTGCCTAGGCACCCGGGTGCTAAAAATCCTTTCTCATTACACATTTATTTCTGCTCTGAATTGTGCAAACATTCCACTAATCCCTGTGGTGTGGGTACTCCATTTGTCTGAATTTATCTTTGTTCTTGTCAGCACATGTGTTTGTTATTGAAGATTGATGCAAGTTTGGAAACAGGGAAAGGTTTCTCGTTGGTTGAAAATATGAGCGCCAGAGTTGGCTCAATAAGAGACAGTGGTCTGGAGACTGGGAGGCTGGAATTCGTAAAGAGCTTCTAAAGCAAACTAGTTATCATAATTTACTAGTCTGCTGTCCACTGGCATTCAGATTACTAGTCCGCTGTCTATACTAAACTTGTTATCATGAAAATTTCCCCTCATCCGATGTTTTGTCTATTCTATTCAAAACAAACTAGTTATCACATAATTATCTACCTTTATTTTTCTTAGGTTTCTAAAATGCATGCATTGCCATGTGTTGCAGTGACAAAGACTGCATCACTTGAGCTGGGTAAGAAGGACAGCATCGCCTGCATTTTGCTACATCCGGGAACAGTCGACACCGGTCACTCATGCCTATTCCAAAGAAACGTGGCCAGGAGTAAAAGCTCTTCATGAGGGTGTTCTCCGTACATAAGCTCCTGTCCATCATCGACAATGCCAAGACCACCATCGACAATGCCAAGGAGACCGACAACGGGAAATTCATCGCTTGGGATGGTCAAGAAATCCCATGGTGACCATTGATTTCAGTCAGTGACGGTTCCCCCCCCCACCCTCCCATTCCTGCAATTTTTCCCATGTCTTGTTTTTACAGTTCTTCTTATTCGGAACAGTTTTGTTCTTTTTAGCCTTAAATTCAAAAGCCTTGAATGAAATTCCAGTAAGATCTCTGATATGAAAGGCATTGGAAGTAATTCCCCTCTCTATAGAATATTATACATTTATGATATTGGCCAGTGAGTACAAGTCTCAAGCTTGTTTCCTAGGACGTGCATATATATGATGTTTGCCACTGAGTAACGCAAGCTTGTTTCCTACAATATGTGTAAGCACCTGCTAAGCACTGGTGCCTACTAAAGTATTGTGCTACTTGTACCTCAATGATCCTACACTGCAAGTTAAAACAGTTTTGTTGTGCTCCGCACCTTTCCATGCACCTGCATTTTACATTCCCCACATATACTGTAAATGGTTAGCTGATAATTTTTATCTTGGTCACCACATATCAGTGCCTCACACACCTCGCCGGGCTCGCAGGGCCACCTCCCTAGTCAGCTGGTCCTATGCCTACCATGGTCATTGCAATCGTTGCTGCTGAGTTCCCGTGTGTCTGTGGTCTACGGCAACACGGTCATGGATATGTCCTAGTGGTCTACGATAGGCTGCTCACATCTGAAATCTGAACTACTCCGGTTTGTCCACTCTGAAATAGGTAAGCTCTGACCCCACATATCCATAGTCTATTTTACAGTCAAAGTATTAACAGATGGGCAATGTATTTGTGGTTTGCCTGACCTTGTGATATGGATTTTTGTGCTAGCAGATGAAAAATTCAGTTGCCATTTCTAATTTGCATGGTATCTTGTAGGAACTGAGAATTATTTATAAGCTGAGCCAACTACTGAATATGTAATGCACTTATCAAATTCCAAATACAACTGCACAAAAGAGTGTCCGTACTCAGCATTACAGTCATACAGTGGTATACGGCCAATAATTTCATAGATCTGCCACTACTTACAGACAAACAATGACATGTAATGTAAGTCATGAAATTTGCATCCTGCTTGCAGTAGTGCAATACTGGAAAGTGAAAAGCATAGAAACATACCGATGACTGTCAACTTAAGAGCACTTGTGGTGGTAATTCCAGGCGAGGAGCTACCATCTACCACTTCAGATCTGGAAAAGGGGGGATCCGATCGGTAGCAGAACTTAAGTGAGAATCGAGGTATATTTCCACCGGATCCGATGAACTATGTGGACACTAACCTGGAGCTTCCCTCAAAATCCAGACCGATGACGATTGACGCCAGGACGATGATACCATGAGCGGCGACAGTCTCCTCTATTCCTTCCAGCGGTGATGCATGGCGATGGTGGAGTTCGACGCGTCCTGTTATCATCTCCGCCGATCTCAATGGACTCCATTGGCAGCTATGTGACGGGTGTTTGGGCAGAGTCTATTCTGTGCGGGTAGGTGGGTGGGGTTGAGGACGCCGCCAGGCAGCAAGGTCTTTTCGTTGGTTTGAAACACGGCCCCGACAGGTCTATTCCTTTTCTTGAAAGCATGACAGCAGGCCGACATGTCAATCCTGATGTAGGCTGGCCAGTAACAGGAATAGTAGGAGTCTAGGCCCAGATTCCATTCAAATATTTTCAGGCACCGCGCTCAGCGAACTCCAGGCCTGCTAATCAAACTGGTGGTACAGAACGTTGAGCAGATCTCCACATGCTAGATTCTGCATGGACGGTAGTGATAGCCGGGTGCCTAGGCACCCGGGTGCTAAAAATCCTTTCTCATTACACATTTATTTCTGCTCTGAATTGTGCAAACATTCCACTAATCCCTGTGGTGTGGGTACTCCATTTGTCTGAATTTATCTTTGTTCTTGTCAGCACATGTGTTTGTTATTGAAGATTGATGCAAGTTTGGAAACAGGGAAAGGTTTCTCGTTGGTTGAAAATATGAGCGCCAGAGTTGGCTCAATAAGAGACAGTGGTCTGGAGACTGGGAGGCTGGAATTCGTAAAGAGCTTCTAAAGCAAACTAGTTATCATAATTTACTAGTCTGCTGTCCACTTGCATTCAAATTACTAGTCCGCTGTCTATACTAAACTTGTTATCATGAAAATTTCCCCTCATCCGATGTTTTGTCTATTCTATTCAAAACAAACTAGTTATCACATAATTATCTACCTTTATTTTTCTTAGGTTTCTAAAATGCATGCATTGCCATGTGTTGCAGTGACAAAGACTGCATCACTTGAGCTGGGTAAGAAGGACAACATCGCCTGCATTTTGCTACATCCGGGAACAGTCGACACCGGTCACTCATGCCTATTCCAAAGAAACGTGGCCAGGAGTAAAAGCTCTTCATGAGGGTGTTCTCTGTACATAAGCTCCTGTCCATCATCGACAATGCCAAGACCACCATCGACAATGCCAAG